GAAGTGGCATTGTGGCTTAAAGTGGTAGAGTGCTTGAGCAAAAGAGCTCGGAGACAGTTCCCAGACCATGAGTTCAAGCCCCATGACTGAAAAAAAAAGAAGTAATTTCATAAGCAATTGAAAATTATACCAGTGGTTATGAATAGAGAACTTGGAAGAAATCTTGAATGTGCACAAGACTATTGTTGACTCAACAGATGTTTACAGATGAGCAGTCTGTGGGAAAAAGGGACCATTTACCTGCTGATATTTACCAGTAGGTAAATGGCTGTTTTCATGACTGAGTAACTGAAGCAACTTCTTCATCCCAGTAGAGGCCAAATACCTTAGGTGACAATTCAGAGCCCTTTGTGAATTTGGATGACTGACATTGCCGTATAAACAACCACATTATTATTTTTTTTTGGGGGGGTCCGGTCATGGGGCCTGAACTCTGGGCCTGGGTGCTGTCCCTCAGCATTTCAGCTCAAGGCTAGTGCTCTACCACTTGGGCCACAGCACCACTTCTGGCTTTTTTCTTTTTGCTTATGTGGTGCTGAGGAATCGAACCCAGGGCCTCATGCATGCAAGGCAAGCACTCTACCACTGAGGTACCTTCCCAGCCCCTATTATTATTATTATTATATAATCATTTCCATTATGATCTAATTGCCCAGCTTGTCATATATGCTTACATTAGTGGTGATAATAGAGGAAAATGTTTTCAAGTGTTTGGATATTTCCCTTTATAAAAATAAAAGCTGTTTGCAAGTTGCTCATGGAAGTCTGTCTTTGCACGCAGGTGTTTTAAATTAAAACTTTTTTCTTTGACTTCTTCCATGAAGCGTCTTAGGTTGCATTTTAACAGGGTATGGGCAGAAGGGAAACATATTATATCATTCAAATTCTTTCCCCTCATAGTTTGAGTGTGTTGGCAATCCTTGTGAGTTTACTTCTCTGATTTATGCCTTGATTTACTTTTGCACGTTCACATTGGCTCATGAATCTTGGCTGTGGATAAAGTATTCTATTACAGATTCTATTATAAATAATACTTGCAGGCAGTGCCAAAAGTTTTGGTGTTTGTATAATGCTTTGTATTGTTCAGATTAACAAACATTCTTTAAAAAACCAGTCAAAAGCCTTATATTATGCTAGACACAGAACTTGTAAAGACAGAAGTTATGATCTATGGTTAAAAGAGCTAGTGGTCCCGAATGGAGACAGGAAAAATCAACAAGAGTAGTGGATAAAATTAAGCATGATTTGTAAATAAAAGCATGGGAGAGAGAGCATAAGTGCATCCTACTGTGTGGTTAGTGGAGAAGGGTAGGGACACTCAAAATAGACAATGACATCGAATATGAGTTGAGCTGTGAGTAGGTCCACAACAGGAAGACACACAAACACAAGGGTGGAGCAGGCACTGGGCTTGAAGGCGCAGGTGCAGGACCTGAGACAGCACAGTGGTACCATGATTGTTATGTCCATTGGTTCTAGTTGTACATGGACAATTAGCAGAGGATGTCAGTGGAATTGAGGGATTCTGGTTTTCAGTCTGGGAGGTAGAATGGCTCATCCTATGGGTGTTATTCCTCAGATGGTAATATGCAGAACGAGGAAGAACATGCAGAGGTGAAGTTTCCTTTGGTATAAGATGAAAGGTGCATCGGTATGAGGTAAGAGGCAGAGGAATTAAATGACTTGGTTATATCAAAATCAGGAAGCCACAAGTCTGGGAAAAAAGAGAATGGAATACTGGACGGAGTGTGTGAGGGGGAATTGACACATCCAAGGAAGGGAGGGAGCTGAGGATTTGTCCCTTGGCTTACATTTCAATAAACATGTATTAAGAATTTATTATGTGCAGAGCACCACACCTACTCTGGAAATCCATTGCTATGAAGAGAGGGAAAGTACTATAGGTATGTATATGAAAAGAGAACTAGCCCATGTCCTTGTGATCTCTCTTGAGGAGATGCTAAGCCCTCAAAGAGCTTCTCAGTGCCCGTTATTCAGTAGTTCCAAACTCATATTCACCCATCAGTCAATGGCATAAACCTTAACCTTATTCATTTAAGAACGCTAGTCTTTATCACTTTGCATTTCCATTATTATATGGCATGATCACCTTTTATTGTTTTCATTGACTAGCATGAAAAATTATCATGATATGATTTTCTTTTTGTTGATCATGGGGCTTGAACTCACGTGGCCTGGGTGCCATCCCTGAGCTCTTCTTGCTCGAGGCTAGTGCTCTACCACTTTGAGCCACCGTGCCACATTTGGTTTTCTAATGATTAATTGGAGATAAGAGTCTCATGGACTTTCCTGCCCTCGTTGGCTTTGAACCATGATACTCAGATCTCAGCCTCCCAAGTATGAGGTATGAACCACCAGCACCTGGCATGATATGATTTTTTTTAAAGAAAAAAGACTTACAAATTATAAAATCTCTCTCTCTCTCTCTCTGTGCATGTGTGTGTGTGTGTGTGTGTGTGTGTGTGTGTGTGTGTGTGTGTGTGTATGTGAAAGAGACAGATTTGTCAAATATTTGTGACAGTTATTTCTGGGTCTTGAGACCAGAAGAGTATTTTCTAAAATGAATACATATTATATGTACAGAATTTATACTAAAATGCTTTGTAATATCTTGCCCATGTAATTGTAACCCCTCTGTACAGTATTTTCACAATAAAAATGCTTTGTAAATGTATTTTCTCTTAAATACTACTCCTTCTACTCCTTTAATTTTGCATAGCATTATATGGAATTAAAATTAAAAATTGAGTATGATTTTTCTCAGGGTACCATCACCTCCTATCTGTTATGACATTTTGGTTTCTTACTTGGATTTATTCTTAGGAATTCTTTCTAAGCTGTCCATCACGAATGGTGGTTAGGTTGTTTGATGTTACTATACCACAGAATCATTGCCATGAGGATCTAAATCACCAATTCATGGTGCATGCGTAAGTTAGTGGTAAAAATAAATGGAGAGTGGGAAGGGTTTGAATAATATTTCCTTTTATAAAAACTAACACTTTTGCACATTTCTCATGGAATCTATCCTTGCATGGAGGTGTTTAAGATTTTCATTGTATTTTCCTTGGCTCCTACAAAGTGCCTTCGGTTGCATCTTAGTATGGCAGTGGCAGAAGGAAAACACATATTTACATTCATTTACTTTGTTCTTCATCGTTGTGTGTCCATTCCTTTCTACCTTTCATCCCCAGCTCTGTGCTGCTAAAGGAATGGCTTATGTGTCTCAGTTCACTGAAGGACACGCCTTCCCTCCCCCACACCTCAGGCAAACATTTTTATCTTTGTATTCTCTGTGTCACTGTACACAATGCTGAGCTTTGCTGATTTGTTTCTTTGCTGTTTATATCCTTATGGTTGCCATTTTCCATTCCAGTGCCCTTTCAATTTTATTTTATTTGTTATTATCCACTGTATTCTTCTTTCCTGGTGGAATGCCTACTCTAAAAACACATCTGCAAACCATTCATAGCTCTCCTTGGATATAGTTAAACATTTCATTGAATGCGAATGTTAAGAACATATTCCTTTGGTATCTGTAGGTTTCTCTTTATATAGTCTCTTTGTAAGCAAGTGCAATATTTGGGTACAAAAAACGCCATTGGAAAAGTCATGTACATAAGTCATAACTATAGTGGACTGAGCCTGGCATTTGACTATGTTTGCTGTCTTCTAAGGTGATTTCAGAAATGAATGTCAAACATACCTATTTTCTTCCCTTTCTTTCTCCTTCCCTGTCTTCCCTCCTTTCTTCATTCCTTTCTTACCTAGCTTTCTTGCCAACCTTCCTGAACACTGGAGCCCTTCCTGATTATAATCTGACTGTTTGGACTTTAAACAACCTAAAAGGAAACTCCACAGTTAAGCAAGTGCTCTACCTCTGAGCTATATCTTCATATCTCCAAACTTGTGCACATCACATTCATAACTTCAGCCATCACATTGTCCCTCACATATCATTGTTTCTCAACACATGTAAAAAATATATTTATCCTCCATTTAATAAAGGTGAGTTCATGATTAGCAATATGAAATGATGATGATGTGAAATGGGTAATTATGCCTTGGGAAACATACTCTCAATCCAAGAAATATAGGGGACTAGAAGACAAAAGATAAAAGCATTTCCTAGATTTTAAGGGTAATCAGATACTGCAATAGATTACTAGGAAAAAGAGGTAAAATTGCTAACCCTTGAGAGTCTTAAAAATTGGACAGCGCAAACATCTGTGGGAATGGCTGGAGCATTAAACCTGTCTTGAGGCAAGCAGATAGACAGAATGACAAATGGTTCTGTGATTCTTTGATTACTTGGCCTGGAGAAGAGAAGGCTGAGGGGAGACATTAAAACGACTTCAAATATGGAAAACAGCGATTATTGCTTTCCAGAGGAAAGCAAGTTGAAAGAGCTTAACCTAAAGTCTCAGAGATTTAGGCTACATTTTATTGTTAAGGATTTAAAGTCATAGGTTGTAGAAAAAAATCTTGCAGAAATCTGCAAAATAAATGATATTGAATTTTGAGGGGAGCAGTGTGGAGAGCCAGCTCTATTGTTACATTGCAATAAAAATATTTGTTACATGACTCTGAATAGAAAGAATTATTTGAGTGTATTATATTGAGTGTACAGCAGTCTCCTGGGAAGGACATTTTCTAAAAGGATATTTTAAAGCAACAAGCATCATCAGTGGTTTTTGGCTGAGTGGAAAGAATGGAGATCATTGCGGCCATTACCATCACAGTGAAATAGGGTAGCTGACATGTGAGCAAGAATTCCAAGAGAGTTCTGTTTGGCTGGCTCAGCTTTTTCCAAATGAAAATGTAGAGGGATTTGAGGTGGGGGCTACTTCAATCCTACCACTAAGGAAGGAACTGAAATACCCTTGTAAAATCGTCAGGAGGCATTTGTATGTCATTTCAGCCTTCAGCCACATGATGTCACAATTGGATTTTGAGTTTCGCTGTGTGTCTTTCCACAGATGAGGGCATTTTCAAAGCTGGAGCTGAGAGATCAGAAACGCGTGGGGCAGTTGAAGTCCAAGAAGATGAAGATACTCAGGTTGAGCTTCCAGTAGACCAGGTAATCTCCACTCCTGTAAACCTAGATGTAAACCACGAATCACTGGTTGCCTTTTAAATATTATGTTATGGTACATGGTATTCCAGAGCTTGCCACAGGGAAATCTCATTTGCTAAGTGGCCAAAAGACCTTAACAACATAATAGGACATCTCTCAGTTCTTCCTAAAATGAGTAGCCATAGATACTGAGGCTTTACTTTTTTTTTATGAGGAAATGGCGTGTCTTTAATAAACAGCATTGAATGGCACAATGGGATGCAATTGGGTTAGAGATGCAAAGAAGAGTAAGTTTACTATGCAAAGGAGAATTGACTAGGGACTAGGGAACTAGTCCTTCTGCATTTAAAACACATTTTTTTTTAAAAATGCCATGGTATTCTCTCCTTTAAGTTCCTTGAAATTTTTGTGGTTGGAATTTGTTTTCCTTAAAAGAATTGCTTACATAAATGCAAGCCAAATATTTGCTGTGCATGTATTGATTTATTTTTTTAGGCCACTGGGGCAGCCTACTTTCGTGTGTGTGTGTGTGTGTGTGTGTGTGTGTGTCTATGTGTATGCATTTGTGTACTATAAATGCATACATAGTATTAAGTATTGTTAATTCTGTGTTAAATGATGCAAGAAGTAAGACAGTTATGCTAATGTAACCCAACAGACTACTTTCTTACCATTCCAAGTGGAGGATTGAAGTTCAGAGGAGGAGGGGAGAAATGACAATCACAGTCTCTGGAGAACAGGGAGAAGTCACTAGAAATTGCCACTTGTCCTCTGACTATTATGTGATATTTCCTTTGCTAAAAGCAAATTTCACAACCCCACAAATTCCATGGGTGATCTTCTCAGTTGTATTTGTCTTAGCGTGGTGGAAGTGAGATTGCTGCTTGATTATTCCACAGGCACTTTCTGCAAATGTTGCCTTCCTGATGAAAAGCCCAATGTGCTAAAAATCACAGATTAGAAAAAATCCAATTTATTTTCTAGGATTTGCTATAACTAATAATTTTTCATAAACTCCAGTTATAGTTATTTTTTTTCCTGAGGGAAAACAGAATTTTAAGTCTCTGTGAAGCTATAATTAAATATTATATTTTGAGACAAAGAAGAGTAATCATGTATGTACAATATTTAATCGCTGTAGAAGCCAGGACTAATTTATATTCCAGAGTCAAAATATCAAGAGAAAACCATAAGCATTGTGTGTAAAAGAGAAATCTCTCTGTTAATCACTTATTAAACAATGTGCAAAATCTGTAAGAGGCATTTGTTTACTTATACATTTGCTGATTATAAGGAAGGGGAGTTGTGGGAAAGACTTGATCTCTGATAATACTTGTACAGCCTTGGGTGTGTGTCATCAGAGCTTGATTTCTTATTTGACTTGTTATCCTGGCTTATTAAAATGCAAGTATACAAGAGAGGCTGAGAAACAGATGGGCAAACGCTGGACGATATCAACAAACTGATGTCAGCTTAAGGAAACAAAGCCAGGTAACAAAACATCAGTGCTATTTTCCTCTTTGACTTTATTGATTTTAGCACTGAAATTGTTTAGTCCATTTGTGTGGCACCAGGTGTGTCATAGAGCCATTTTATATTCTTATGAGCTATCATTAAATATTGTGAAAAACCACACAAATCAATGTAAAGCTCATGAACTACATAAGAGTTTGAGCAACTCCAAGGACGTGCCTGATGGTAAACAATAGCTACAATTTATCGAGTACCTACTAAGTAACAGGCAATGGCATTATCTCATATGATCATAGAGACAATCCTGAAAGATTGGTCTCATCCTCCACTGTACATATACTTACAGAAAGAGCGAGCTCAGATAGGTGAATTGATTTGCTCAAGGTTGTAGCATTAAGTAGGGGAAATGGGACTTGAATTCAGGTCTGTCTAATTTGAAAGGAAAGAAGTCTCTTCCAGGGGGTAGTAAATGAAAAAATAAAAAACCCATTCTTTATTTTTTTTGTCAGTCGTGGGGCCTAAACTCTGGGCCTGGGCACTATCCCTCAGCTCTTCAGCTCAAGGCTAGTGCTCTACCACTTGAGCCACAGCACCACTTCCAGCCTTTTCTGCTTATGTGGTGCTGAAGAATCAAAGTCAAGCCCTCTACCACTGAGCCACCTTCCCAGCCCAAAAGCCCATTCTTAACCTAGGGAAGGAAAGAAAAAAATTCCTACATGAGGGGACATGCAGTTATTGTCTTCCTCTTATTTATAAGAAAGATTCACATATCTTTGGACTTGCTTTTTGTTATATAAATGAATATACATCGTAACCTTATTGAAAAGGTCACAAAGGAAGGTTGTGTGTGTGTGTGTGTGTGTAATATTACCCACAAATTGTGTATGGATTTTACCCATTCTTGAAAACCAGCTCAAGTTTTAGAAATTGGTTTTGAACCTCTCTGTTGGAGTTTATTCTGCATGGATCCCTTCATACTTTGGGCATCCTGTGGGCAGAGAACTGACTATCTTTGTTCTGGGTTGGCTCTTCAGGGTGTTTATATAGAGAATGGATTTGAGGTCCAGAGATAGTGATTTCTTCCAGAACAATTCTCAGCTGATGGCTATTTTGTCCTTAAAAGGATATTTGGCTATCCCTGGAGACATGTTGTTTTCCTGTCATGGAGACCTGGGCAACTGTGGTTGGCCTCTTGTGGGCAGTGATTATGGATAGTTTCAACTAGATGGAATTCACCTGAGAATTCTTACAATGAAACCTATCTAGCCCAAATGTCAATGGTGATGAGATCAAGAACCTCTACTTACAGGGCAAAGGGCATGGTTATATCTAGAAAAATAAAGATTGACTCTCCCTATTGAGGGTCAGATGGGTTGACTTCCCATTAAAAATGATCTGATGTCCTTGAATTGTTCATTGAAGGCTCTTTAAGATGGAGATTTTTATGTGTATGTGCCTTTTTCCATAATAAAAATTGTTAAAGCTTGGGTTTCCAAAGCTTGGAGTTCTTTATGAAGTGAGACTCTCCTAATCCTCTTCTCATTGATTGTCAGAAATGGATCTTGGGTACACAGGCTGATATCCTGGCCATTGCTGTCAGGAGCAAATTTTTCTTTGTCTCTAATGCAGGCATCTCACATCTGCCAGCATCCATGAAACTTTGGTGGGCTAACATGTTTGCCTCTACATTTTCACATTGCTCTTTGTGATGATCTATTTCCTTCTAGAGGAGACTTTTAGTATTTTGTATGAATAGGTCAGTAGCTTGGGCTCTGACTATGGGAAGTAGTCTGAGAGGTCTTGTCATTCGGTCAAGACATTTCTTCTCCTTGGGTTCTGTACAAGGAGCATGCTTAAAGTTTCTGCTTGGCTTCCCTTTCTGTAGGCTCAAATTTTAGTTTAGTCAAATCTTCTCTCCCTAGATGCCCACTTATCAGCTTTATTGCTCCCCAAATGTTGTTATTTCCTTCTTACTGTTGCATGTCCTAAGGTTTTGACACTTTTAAGTTGTCCTTTCTGACATTTTAGAGGGGCATCAGAAGGGAGTTAGGAAAAAAAACCCTCTACATTTGTTCAATTTACAGTATTTAACCAGAAATCACTTTTATTTTTATTTTATTTTTTGTTTTTTTATTTTTTTGGTTGGTCGTGGGGCTTGAACTCTGGGCCTGGGCGCTGTCCCTGTGCTCTTCAGCTCAAGGTGAGCACTCTACCACTTGAGCCACAGCCCCACTTCCAGTTTTCTAGTGGTTTATTGGAGATAAGAGTCTCACAGACTTTCCTGCCAGGCTGGCTTTGAACTGAGATCCTCATATCTCAGCCTCCTGAGTTGCTAGGATTACAAGCATGAGCCACCGGTGCCCGGCTCTATTTTATTTTTTTAAAATGTTTTTTATTGTGAAAATACTTTACAGAGGTGTTACAATCACATGAGCAAGGTGATGAGTACATTTCTTATCAAGCATTGTTGCCAACTCCCTTGTTTTCCCCCTACCATCCCTTCCCTCCCATTTCCACAACTACAATCCCTCCCCTTCCCCCACCACTTGAATTGTAAAATTCATTTTTCGACATAGCATCTTGTACATCTCATTGTTGCAATGGGTCAACCTGTATCCCTATTTAAACAATTTGTTTTTTTCCTTTCGCTCCCCAAATCATACCAACATCAAATACAGTGAAAACAGGGGTTATACTGTGAGGCAGGGACATACAAAGCAACAAAAAAAATCACATGGTACCTTATAAATACGTTAGAAACAATAGCAAGCAAGAAAAAAAATACTTGTGTCCTTTATCTTGGGGTTCATTTCACTTAACATCATCTTATCTGACCTTTTCTGCTTATCTCAGATATATACTAGTTATTGCAAATAAGGGAAACCATGGGACCTATGTTTCTTCACTTAATATAATTTTATCCAAGTCTTTCCTAACAAATGGGGCAATGTCATTCTTTCTGATGGAGGCATAGAATTCCACTGTGTATATATACCACATTTTCTTGATCCATTCATCTACTGAGGGATATCTGGGTTGGTTCCATATCTTAGCTACAGTAAATAATGCTGCACAGAAATCACTTTTATACTAGTCAGTCAGAAGGAGAATAAGATGACTTCATAGAACCTACACTTGGGATGTCAAATTGATGCTGTGGTCAGATTCCCAGAGAGAGAGACACTTTAGGAGTTTCTGAATCTTTCTAGTAGGCTTTGCGTTCTGTAGCTTACTATAGGCTATAAGATCCTCCATAGTTTAACTCTTGTCCTTAGTGGTGTATTTATGTTGTTTGCCCAGTCCCTTTGGCTAAATAGCTTTTGATTACTACTGGTCCATACATATAGACAGTAATCTGCAGCCTAGAGGTCATTACTAGAAACAAGGTTCTTTCCCTTAAAACTTCCAGGAAAAGAAGTGAGATTGGAGATTTCTGATTATTTCATAAGTAGCAACGTATCCTGCTTGACTACAGGGCCTCTCAGCCTTCACTGCCTTCTCAAACTGAAGAGAGTTACGTGCCAAGAGCG